CAACTAACAGTATTCATTCCCACGGTCCCACAGCCAGCTTTGCCATGGGCCAGGATTGAACCTGCAGCCGAAACTTCTCAGTTAATGTAAGCAGACCCTAGAATGCACAAAGGACCACCTAAGCCAAAAGGCAGAATAACTGAGAAGTTATATTCTCAGCCAGTGCATCCTATATATGATACAGTATGGGAACTGTAGTAATCATGCTATGATTACATAGGGCTTGCCAGGTTGTCTCATATTGAAGGTCAGGTTTGTCCAACCATCCTAATGCAAGTTCAGCATGATGTATGAGGTTCCTAGCCTGGACCGCCATGGATATACCATTATTGAGAAACTCGAGTATTTCTTTGTTGGTAATGGTGGACAAAGCATTGATTCCACCGAATTTCAGAAGGAAAATGTTTTCGAATAGTTGACGCCATGGAAGCAGAGCTGAGTCCCTGGGTGGAGCAACCAGAATCTTGATAGAAACAGAGTTCTGCTGGAACTGTTCTGAAGTGACATAGATGACAAGGCGTTCAGTTGCATCAAAATGACCAACAATCAGCCTCAACCAAGCTTTATAAGACTTCAGCAAAGACTTTCCTATATCAGAAAAATTGAGCCTCAATGGACAGTATAAGACTTCAAAAGAGACTTTCCTGTACCAACTGACCCTTCCACAGGAAAAGAAGACTGGATTGCCTCGAGTTCTTCATCAAGATACTCTTTGTGCTGTTTACTGTTCCTGTCATGTTCTTTGATCTGTTGGAGATGACAGGGGTCAACAAGGAGACTTTGGATGTTTTCCAAGTGTATCTGGAAAGCTCGGCCCATGCATAACCTTAAAAGCGCATATCCATATATATGGACGTTGTGCACATCAGGAAAACATAAGGGTTATCTTTGGTGTCTTTGTCTCTGGGAACCGAATCTTTGAGTGCTTTGTCTTTGTAAAAGCGGTCTTTCAAGATCTTTGTCTTTGGATGCGAATCTTTGGTATCTGACTTGGAGCTTTCACATCTTTGAGTCCATAGAGATTGTTACTGTTCGACATCCCATAGCTGTATATATTTATTGACATAAAATGTGGAAAGGGTGGGCCTGCGAACGCTGACAGTGAAACAGGATGTGAAAAAATCAAGCGGTGCCATAATGAACTTGCCGGGATGAGATATATTGTTGCTGATACCCTTCCACCAAGACCCGGGCATTTTTGACTGTCAACAAACATGCCTGCACAAGCGACTCGGTTCCATCGCCATTTGCATCAAGCAGGACGTTGTTGGATATTGAATGACAGAACGTGATGGAAAACGGCATTGTGCTGTTACATAAGTTAAGTCTGAGTGCCCGGCCCTCAAGAGAACGCGTACCCACGTGATGTTGGTTCAAAATCGTTGAAGAAAAATTTTCTTCCTCTTCATCAATCATGCTGCTGGCCTTGCGTTCATCGTTCCATCCACTCTCATAGCCGGCATAAAGAGACAAGTTATCCGGATGCAACACCCTGCTGACTCAACTGACTTCAACCTACGCTTCGTGACAACATGCAAAAATGCCGATTTTGGATTGGAAGCTGCAAACTTCGAGCGGTGGGTGACTATGGGATTGTGGACATCGTATTTTCTGAACCTGGGTGCATAGTTTATTCTGCTCAACTCAATACCGCTTATTGACGATTGTACAGCATCTATGTCCTGACAACTGTTACTGGGTATGTCGTGTCGTCAAATCCAGTGCAACGGTCACTACGCCGTCTTCCCAACGTTTCCACCTACAGCTGCAAGTTCACTTAACCCGTACGTCTCATTTACATGTCATTGCGCCCCACTATATCTCATCAGTAGCACTGCCTCATCTACCCCATCCCTCCTGACTTCCTCGCCCTCCGTAAGTCACCACACGCACCATTACCCATTTATACTCCTCTCACCACACCTCTTCCAGCTCTCCAAACCCCCTCGCTTCCTTTGTATCAAGCCACACCCAGTGCAGAAACCTCCCCGTCGTCAGGGGGCACCGTCATCGTGTCCTTCGTTCTCCGTGCACTCCTCACAGCCGGGGTCATTATCTCCCTCTGAGAATTGCATGTGCCCTGATTCGGCATAGGCATACTCTCAGGCTTCCATCCGGCTGCGTGAGTTGCCTTGTTCCGCTCGTAGTTGAATAAGACTGACTCAATTCTTCTAGTCTGTGTAATATCAAGCTTGATACTCGACACGCTTCGGACAGGACTACTTCGAGACCTTTCGTTCTTCCTGGTGGCAAGCCTGCATACCTGTAAACCTATTGTCCACTCGAGTATTTGAGGTTGCGTATTTCTATCTCTGTTCGTTTTTTGAAACACAAAGTGCTCATATTGATTTACAGACCTATTACCTACGTGAATGTCCAATCACCATCACCAGTATCCCACATCTTTAGCCAGACCGTTGAAACAGGCTCCTGAGTGCACTGACAAGGAAGTTATGTGTAGGGGCATGATGGGTTGGATAGATAGAGAGATGAAGATGGTTTATATCTCAGACGTCATGGTATTTACTGTTTATACGTTACTTGAATAAGATTGATTTTAGTGCATCTGTGGTATGATAAGCATGAGTGAAAGACTTGTAAAGATATCATACAAAGCCAAAGATGGTCTTTGGAAAGCTCTATGTTCGTCTTTGAAAGATTCTCAATGGTCCCTCAAAGATGACCACATCTTTGAAAGAAATTGTACCTGTCTCCCGAAAGACGTGGGGTCTCTATGTCTTTGAAGTCTTTAGGTCTTTCCAAAGACCCCAAAGATCCTCAAAGACGACCCTCATGTTTTCCTGATGCACATTCTTGTTGAAAACATCATGGCGACCAGAATCCCTTCCACTGCACACCTCAGCCAATATTCAGGAACCTGCCAATTCAAGTTACCTCAAAGATGTCCTATTGGCCAATGCAATTGTTGGTGCAATCTATGCCATCATACAACCCAATCTTTTTGAGTCCAGTTTAGCCGCCTTCGAGAAGCTTGCTGATCATGCCAAGGCATTGGATGATCCTGTCAATATTGCTCTTTGTGTTTGGGCCACTCCTTTCACTGGTCTTTCAGTCATCCTGAACCAAGAGACGATTGATCACCAAGATCTAAAGGGGTATAGGGAGTCTTTTGACTTGTTGCTTACCATCAGAAACTACACAGGAGGCCAGTGTCACTTACCTGGGCTTGGGTTTACAGTGGCGATTAAAAGTATTGCACACAGTAGTACAATGAATACCAATCCTTTGGGCAATTTCTGCATTGCCCAGGGAGAGCTTCTTGAAGTCAACAACTCAAGCAACTTTGGTGGGGGATGTGTATACCATAGCTGTAGTAAGGGTGTGCAATGATTTTTTGACAGATCGGTTGCTTCAACCTTGTATAAATAATCAGGAAGTGTTTCGAAAACACATGAGCAAAAGTATTGCACATGTTTTCAGCAATAAACTGCACATAGTTGGGCTGGAAGTCATTAATTTTGATGAAACTCATTTTTATTATGGAGTCTACATATATTGCTACCTACAACACACACTTTACCTGACATTAAAGCCTTAATTCATTCGCATGGGAGACGCAATGCAGTCACATGGGTAGAAGGCAACTCCGATGACTATGGCATGGACAGCGAGGTGGAATGGCCAACAAGGCTGTTGAATCTCAGGAGGGATGCACAGAACAGTGGAGGAGCGCCATCGAGCGGTCGAGAAGTGGATCTGGATCTAAAATTCATTGCTCATTCTTTTGGCAAATTGCACTTGGTAATCATTCCAAACCCTCTCCGTGCTCCCCCAATAATTACTTTTCCAGTCTTATCTCAGTGAATGTCCCCGCATTCCATAAAAATCGGGCAACATGATTACTAAGTGGAGCTGGATCCTCAAACGATACACCCCATTCACGCACTGGTCGATCTCTCCCCAGCCGACCCCGGTGTCTGTCCGATGAGCAAGACGTCTTTTGGAGGCTGCACGCCAGACTGCCCACTTTCCAGGCTCTCGTGGCCATCCGGACGCACGCACACACACGCGCGAATTAGGGAGACTGCTGGAATCCTGCTTGCACACAGCCGCGGATAACCACCATCCTTACACTAGAGTTAGCCCCGCTTACCTTGTGCTGCTCTTTTTTTTTGGTCCCTGGGGCTTAGAGGACGCCATGTGAGACGAATGGTTTATACTACAGCATTCTCTAGGGCCGAGTGACAGACTTACATCATTTGACCAATCTCTAACGTGAAAATGAAGGAAAACCAAACCGAACCACACTGAACTAATTATAAGCAACACAACGTCATCGATTCAAATCGAGCTGGACCCTTCTCGCGCTCGACACTATTGAACCACTACTCGTCAAATTCCTCTGCAACAATCTGAAACCCCGACGCACTCCAGAGAAAATTGCCAGGCGAATGTGCTTCGTTGCGCAAACCGACTCCCCAACCCCACACCAAATCACAACACGTGCACGCCTCAGCACTTTTTCTCCATTACTCCCATCTTGCTCCCGCAGCCTCTCCGTCGCCCTCCTCTTCCCCACCACATTACTATCTCGCGCCGTCTCCACGATACTTCCACCAAACGATCTCCCGGCCAGCCGGCGTTGGTCACCTCTCTGGCTTCAGTCCCTCTACATTGCACACTCTCACCTCGTTAAGGGAGAAGACCAGAGGTCGTCGATGGGTATTATGACTGTTGTATGCGGCTTTCCATGTGACGGCATTTGTGCTAGGATCTAGTAAGAACCCCCTTTGCGTTGGTGAAGAATCTCAGTTGATTGTATGCGACGTTCGTGCGCCGTTCAGTCACAGGGCTATGCACGCTTGGTGGTCTTTGGTTTACAGGACACATCCCGGGTGAAGATAGTTGTTTTTAAGAGGTAGGGCCCTTATTTTGTTCAATTCTTTGGTGTATGCTGACTATATGCGTTGAAATTTAGCTTCAGCACCCCACCTTGCACCACATGCAGTCAAGTCAGAGAACAAGTATGAGGGGAAGGCATTCGAAGCCGAGATTGCTGAGATATGGGGGAAAGTGAGTCCGTAATTCTGGGGCATACGCGGTTTGCTCACTCCACATTCCATCCAACACCTTCTCGGTAGAGAGACCTTTAAATAAGTGACGAGAAATTATCTCATATGAAGACGGCACGAGAAACAGGCAGACAAGGCCGTGAGAAATGGTACATATGTTTTCGGAAGCTTAATGACTGATGTTATAACGAAGGCTAACTACCAGTCATTTCTGCTAGCTGGCACTGGCACCTGCAAATGTGGTTCGTGAAGTGTAACGCTGTTTATCCTCATTCCAGAAATCTTTACTTTACGACGTCCCTTGAACGTAACAAACTCATTATTGCCGCCACCTCAAATCACGCTTGAAATTTTCAGTAATAGCGCTGGAGAAAGACAGGAAAGGACTGGGAAGTAACAGAGGCGGATTGGTGGCGGGACAAAAAAATAAACAGTACGTTCCATCATTTCGAACGATACTTTCTCATAACTCTTGTTTACGTAGTGGCACGCATCGTACTTGGTCCTTAAGCAAGCTCCATTTCCTCATCAACACTCCCCGCTCTCTGGTCGCCTCGCTCAGGCCAGTGACTGTTTTAGTACGTCACCTCAACTGCTCGCGCTTAAATGTTCTCACTGACTCTGTTTTTCAAGTACCCAACATGTCGTAGAACCCGCGTCTTGTGGTAAGTCGTCTTTCTTTCACCTTTTCCGTTCTTTTCTGACTTGGCGATTTCGGTTGCGCCATTCAATTTGGCTCGCTTAGGTCTCCGGCGCACTCTATGCAGCTCCTTGCCATTCTCAGTCACTTTTGCTCATCGGCCAAGTCTCGGAACGGATTTTCAAAGTCTCGATTTCACTCGATTCCATTCAATATGCTCAGACACTTAGTTTCTGTCTGGATTGATGTGGTTTGGTCGCACTGTCCACCTGCAATTCGCTCTCGTTAGGTAGGATTAGATTATTAGATAGATTCGGTTAGACGGCTATAGATGCGGCTGGGTTTAAAATCCAGCCAAACTTGTAAAAGTCTCTATTGTCGAGGCTTTGTATGTAGCGCGCTGATGCTAAGATGTAAGAGAACACGAAAATTCAATTTTAACTGTGATTCAGTTGAACATCCGAATTTCCGTGGGTTGGGGGAAAGCTTTTGAAAATTCTCGTGCACTTGGATCCAAAACACGTCGCGCTGATCTCAAATGAAATTGTAGAATTCAAAATTGATACTTGTTCAACGGATATAAAAATCATATCAGATGAGATGAGGAAACAAGTATATTTGCAATTTGAATTGACTCGAGAATTACGAAAGCTTTGAGTGTGCCGGTGTGAATCCTGGTTTCCGAGCCCCATGTGAAGGGTCTGAGAAGACAACAAGACTATACCACCATGCGCAGCTCACCACAGTCGTGTTTCTTCGAAGACACGACTCCCCAACGAGAGCAAGCTAAGTTCAGAAGAAATGGGATAAAAATAGATTGATCATCTCAGATTGATCGTTTGTTCCATAACGGAACAAGGTAAGTGGAAATTTTATAACTTCCACTTCTTCCTGTACGCCGACATTGACTCTTCAATGATAGAAACACGAGAAGCGGAACCAGTGCTGGACATGAACAGAGGTAAGATTGACTCGATTTTCCTCCAATAGTCCATGAACACCCTTGATTTCCAGCGCCCTTGTGCTGCAACCAAATCAGGCGCCACACCCATGAGGAGAAGATGTGTTGCACCACCGATGCGGAAGCCATGACCTGGCATATCAGGCATTCCAGCAGCAACCCAGATTTCGTTACATCGTGTCATGAACCATCCTTTGGTCATTGGCGACCATCCTCCGTCGGCTGTTTCGAATGAAAATAACGGTGCGTGAGATGGTATAGCTTTGCTGCATGAAAGATGGTGTTTAAGAGCTTTAATAGGACACGATGGATCATTGCGTGCTGTGATGGATATGCTTGCGCCTTCACGAAGCGTCGTCTTAGTCCATGGTATCTGACAGGTGCCGTATTCTGTGCCATTTGACAGGACATTGAAGATTAACGATGTCGAATGTGCAACGTGTTTAATAGGATCAAATAGATTTGTGCTCGGGATAACGAGCTCTCCGAGACGACAGCAGCACCAGAAGGCGACGCATGCAATAGCCCAGACTGCTGCGTCGAATGCATTGGATAAATCCAGGCCATTGCGCAACGCGTAAAGATGTTCAATGGTAACAGGAGGACGCTTGGCCCGTTTGGATGAAATAGGTATGAGCTTCTGAGCACCTTTCTTTGCACGGGATAAGATGTCACATCCATTCCACAGAGCACCGTTGATTGTATGCCAGAAGTGAAGACCAGAAAGCCAGTTGTCGATCGTACTCGACGATACTTTGCCGGCATGAAAGGCGATGAAGGAGGCGAGCAATGGCTCGGATGCAGGCATTCGGTCGACCTCCGTGACGTTAATAGTATCACAGTACTGCGTGAAGCGTAGTAAACCCGCTGCATATCCATCTCGGGTCGCTTGGTCGAGAGAGAACGCCATCACTTCAAAAAGACGTGTAAGATGTGACTCCGGTAGCGCCTTCAACATGTCCTCCCGGAAAATCTGTGAGTGAGGTGAGGTCCACTTGAGTAGTCTTTCTCCTGCGATGACGTGAGGACGGAATAAAGAAGGGACTATTTCATTGCCCTTCCGAGGCTTTCTAGGCCTCCTTGTACGAGCTTGTGATTGAGGCAAAGATAAGGTGCAGGTGTCCATTAAGGACGAAAACTGTGATAATTCTGAACGTACGTCTACGTTTTTGAGACAGTCGGATAAAGTAGAATGACTAGTAGACATGAGAGAAGTATTCGGCAATCGAAGGAGATATGGAATAGGGAACAGTCACTCGATGTTCGAGAGGGGGAAGGATACCTCGAGATATGGGGTCTGCCAAATTTGTGGATGATTCTACATATAAAAGAGAAATGGAAAGATCACGTTGTTCGAAGATGGCTTCTGCACGACGAATGCATGAGTTGGTCTCTTGGTTCCTTGACCATCCTTTCTGGAAGGCACCAATGACTCCTTCGTTATCACTGCGAATCAGAACATCAAGATGAGAGAGATGCATTTCGTAGAGAAGCGTGATGATGAGCTCAACGGCTACCGCTTCGAGCCATCCTATGTCTCGTCCGGGAGCCTTCCATGCTGGAAAGGTCTTCCATGCATCCCACGAGTTGTTGATTAGCAAACCGATTCCCCAGTCTGTTGAGGCATCAACCCAAATATTGAGGTCAGACATAGGAGGACGCGAAGCGAGTGAACGAATGATGGACGGCTTGGAAAGTTGAGTGAACCACCATTTAAGGTCTGAAATGACGGAAGGAGGAGGAAATCTTGGGGCGAAGTCGCTAGTGAAGGTCAAGAGCCACCAAATGATATTGTTGAGATATGCTCTGCCACGCGAATAGACAAAGGTGATGTGTGATAGCGAGCCGTGCAGAGATTGTATGTCTTTTTTGAAGAACTGACGTGATAAGGGGGAGTCCTGCAAAACGGAGATAACTTTAGCAAGATGTTTTTCGCATTTGGTTTTAGTGAGATAGACGGCCTTCGAGATAAGGTCCCATTCAAAACCAACATAAGAAAAAATATCTCCAAAGGGGGAACCCTTTGTTGTATGCCATGGAATCCCGAGTGGGGCAATCATGGCTTTGATATAATCAAGATCATAATCATAACGATAGACAGTGCCGTCAGAAGTTCCAGAAAATAGGCCGGCCTTGTTCGCATAACGAAAAGCATTGAAATCATCAACCCATTTGATAACAGGCCCAACGCGAAGACTATGCCAGATGTCAACCATCGCATCTGCAACCTCTCCTTGTAAACCTGAAGCAGAGGCGAGGCCAAATGGTACATTGTGATCGATGTAAAACAAACCCTTGAATTCAACAATCAGGTACCACTTGGAAGCAGGGCTGACTGGAACTGTGCGATACGCCCCTTCTACATCAAGGGTGCACGCCTGTGTTCCTGGAGGCGCCGCCGAGACCTACACACTCGCATAAGCCATGACTAACAGATGAGCGAAAAACATGAGAAAACATTTGTCCCAAGTCATCCATGTCCTTCAAGCAGCTAAGAGTTGTGAACTCCGCCGCGAAGAACTTCTGAACGAGACTCAAATAAGAAAGGGATATAGATATATGAAATAACAGAGAAAATGATAGATATGATGGGAAACATACAATTTTGGCGCACTCAGACGCCGTGCCCCATCGAGTTGGGTACTCCTCTGAGTTTATGTCATCGTTAACAGAAAAACCCAGGTTTCCCCGATATGAGAGATTACGACAGCAACGATATTTATCAGGACCGCCGGCTTCACCAGGCTTGACGACAACTTGAATAGGTGATGAACGAAACAGCCTGATTTTGGCTTCTAGTTCTTTTTGAGTGAACGGACCCGAGAGGCGTCCGAGTTTGAGTTCGTCAAAGATGTATTCTTGGATAATATGATCATAAGGGGAAACAGAGGCGAGATTGCCAGGAGTAAAAGATGTATCAAGATCGGCAATATTTCCGAGTGGGAAGCCATGAGTCAGTTTGAAGGGAAGTTCTGGATAACGATTGAGGATTTGTGCTTTTGAGAGATAGGCGTGGAAAGCGTCCGCGCTATAGGGAGTCCTGATCTTAGAGTAGTCAGGGTCGAAGTCATGAGGCGAAAATTCGAGATGAAGATTGTCAAAGTACGGTAAGCGATCGTTGATTGTGAGATCTGGATTGAATGAGAGATGTTCGAGCAAATCATGGAGTGATAACGAGCGCAAGTGAGCTGAGAGATGAATTGATGAAGTTGTAGAGTCGAGCTTAGATACATTTGTGAGAGCAGGCGCCATGATCAGAAGCGCCGCAGAAGGAACAGATGTGATGGTCCGAATGGGACTTGGAGCAGATAGAGAGCCTATTGAGATTGTAGGCGATACAGATGATGCCTCCGTCGCTTCGTCGCACGAGCTTCCGATTATCATATTTCGCTGTCGTCTGTTTGCCTGCCTGCGTGATCGACTCCTGGCATGACGCGAAGCGATGTTCTCATTGACAAATGAGACAGATGGGAGTATTGGCAAAGGAAGTGCCAGAGGACCGAAAGGAATGATTGCTCGAACTCGCGGCGGCACTCTCAGTACAGCCCCCGGCCTGACGAGACGAGGACTCTGCATCACGGTGATGATAAGGCGCATAACGCGACTTGCCTTTCCAAGAAGAGGATGAGGGGCCGTTGGGATTCGATTCCATGTCAGGTAAGGGCCTTGCTGCCAAAATTTCTGCTTGTAGAACCTCGAGCTTGATGGCTTCAAAGCGGCGCCTATAAGAATCCTCATCGTGAGGGC